AATATATATATATATATATATATATATATATATATATATATATACATACGAATACAGGCCCATTTGGGGTAAGTGTCTACTTTATATTTATTTATCCATAAGCATATCCGTATGTAATTCAAGGTAGAGAGTGTTTTATAGTATTGTCTCTCTCTCTCATCTTAGCGTTGTCCCGGTTGCGTCCTCAGCAGGGTTGCTGCGGAGCCCGGGGTCCGCTTTCCTACTCTTTCTCCTCCACTTTGCACGGTCTTTGGCATCCTTAGTGGTGAGACCATTGGCACGCATATCACCCTTGGCGACGTCAAGCCAGCACTTCTTGGGTCTGCCCCTTCTACCGGGGCCCGGCGGAGGTGGCATAGCCAGACATTTGTTTCCCACGTAGCAAGCCGGTTTCCGTAAGATGTGGCCGTACCAACGTAGGCGGCTTTCTTGCAGTTTATCTGCAATGTCACGGACATGAAGGCTGCCGCGGATGCGGGAGTTTCTGACACGGTCTTTCCGTGAAACTCCACACATCCAGCGCAGCATCTTCATTTCCGTGACACGCAGCTCCTGCTTATGACGCTCAAGTACGGGCCACGTTTCACTGCCATATAAAAGGACAGGCCTAATGATGGATTTATAGACCTGTCCTTTCAGCTTAACCGGCATCTTGGGGTCACAAATTACACCAGTCACCTCACGCCACTTTGCCCAAGCGGCTGCGATTCGGGCTCTGACGTCGCAGTCGATGTCTCCGGACGCGCTAAGTACAGATCCCAAGTATTTAAACTGGCCCGTAGGCTCGACCGCGTCTTCGCCTATGCGTACGGGTAGGGGATCTGTAGCGTTGCAGACCATGTACTCAGTCTTCGCCACATTTAGTCTCAAACCGCCGTTCTCAAGCGACTCCTTCCACACATTCACTCGTCGTACCAGTCTCCCTCTATCCGCATCCGCCAGCGCGATATCGTCAGCGTACATAAGCATCCACGGGGGTTGCTCATGCGTGTCTCGGATGGAGCTTGAGACCTCGTCTAATATCACGCTGAACAGATAGGGACTGAGAACTGAGCCCTGGTGAACTCCGACTGTGACAGGGAAGGGTTTAGTGTCACCAACAGCAGTCCTAACCATGGATTCGGAATCGCGGTACATGTCTCGGATGATGTCAATATAAGCTTCTGGTACCCCTTTGGATCTCAGTGCCCACCAGATCATTACACGGGGGATACAGTCGAAGGCCTTCTGCATGTCAAGAAACATGAAATGCAGAGGCGTATTCTTCAATCTGTATTTCTCCATGATGACCCTTAGGGCAAAAACAGGATCCATGGTCCCAAGACCAGGCCGAAACCCATATTGACCCTCCGAGACAGCACTCTCCTGTCGGATCCGAGAGTCTATTATACGCTCGAAGAGCTTCATGGTGTGGGACATGACCTTTATGCCCCGATAATCGCCACACTCCTGCACCGATCCCTTCCCTTTGAAGACTGGAGTGATAATACTCAGTCTCCATTGGTTAGGGATTTTACCGGTGAGGAGCACGCGATTAAAGAGGCCGGTAAGGATGCCCACACCACGGGGACCCATTGCCTTCCAGGCCTCGATGGGAACCCCATCGGCTCCGACAGCTTTCCGATTAAATTTCCGAAAAATGTTTTATAGTATTGTATCTGTGTGTTTATACCATTGTGTTTTGTTACAGCTTTTCTTCTTTACCTTTTCCCTACTTTGTTATTTATATCTTCTACCTTATTACGCAAGACCCATCGTGACAGCTTTTAAATACATAATCAAGTTTCAACCATTTGTTAAAATACAAAATCACCAAATAAATATTCGTTAATTTTAATTAACAAAAATAATAAGTAAAGCATTTTAAACTTTATTATATAATGTAATCCAAAATTTGTTATTATATTAAAA